GAAATTTGTTGACACGTGAAAATTATTTTAAAATTGCAGAAAAAATGTGGAGCTAATGTGTTGAATATTTTAGTCTTGATGTTACAATAAAATGAAAGAAAAAAATTTACTTCTTAAATCTTTATATTTACTTTATTTCCACGTAGTTTGCAAAAACAATAAATATGATTTAAACTAAAACAACTTTCAAAAAATATTCGATAACGCATTGATTCAACGTACAAGTTCTTTTGCCTAATTGTACAAAAAATGTTGTTCAAGGTCTCATTATATAAAAGGTATTTCTTGGTTATTGTTTAAAAAATTTATTAAATTATTGGACAAATGTTTTTTTTAATTTATTTAATTTTTATAAAAGCTAATGATAGCTCGCCGACCTGATAACTATTAATTCTTATTTCATCTTTCCCATATAGTTCAAAAAAGATGAACACATTGGCATGAGAATTCAAATATCGGTGTATAACGTTTTCATAATCATGATGTTTAAATTTTTCTGAGCTAACTGTACCATTGGACACGTACAATATATTAAATTCCTCTAAAAATATCAATGATGTTGAAGTATAAAACACATTCCAGAAAAAATACTTGTGGCTTGCTTTCAATGGAATTGCCTGATTTTTTTTACAGTCAGCAGTTCATTTCATCTGTAAACGTGTTATTAAAATTAATAATTTTTTTCACAATTGAAAGAGTTTAAAGTTAAATTGAAAATAAAAATTATCCATGAAATGGAATTTTTGCCAACCGATAACCTTGCATATAAGGCAAGTTTGCTGATTACGTGACGTTGAAAAAAAATAAAATCACAGTCAAGTTATTAACTTAACGAATTTCTTGCATTAGAATTAAAAAAAATATATATATTTACTCACATTCACGATTGTTTCAATTTTAAACTGCTTTAGAATTTCTCCTCTTCTAAGCCATGCTTGAAAAACATAAGTACTGGCACAGATTGACCATCTATATCACGATATTCCATTAGAGCTACAAGTCCATCAACATCCATAGATTCTCCAGTGAAGAACTGAAGTTCCTTAAACCGACCTAATATATCTTTCATTACTTTGTTCATGTTTGTCTTGAAAATGTCTACTTGATCAGGTGATTTTTCTTCTAATTTTGCCACTAATCTAAAAAATTTCACAAACTTAGACTTGGAAAAAAAAAAAAAAGTCAACCACTCAACAATTCTTTAAAAACTAAAATAAGGTGAACATACTTCTTCATGTAGTCTTTGAGATAAAGCGTGTACGATTTTTTGTCTCCAAAAGCATAGGTTTCACATAATCTGTGATTCAAAACGACATCAACACCAGATTCGACATTTTCGACTGTTCCTTCCTCAGTTTCTTCAGCAGATGGGTTAAAACCATCAATTTTGACATCTCCAGACTTGCGAGTAACAACCTAAAAGTCAATATTGTATAATGAAACTTGAAAAAAAAACTTACTTAAAAATGTAATAAGACAATAAATTACCTTGCCATACACTTCATATATAACATCATCAACAAGTTTCATTTTGTATGTGTCAGAAAACATTTCGTCCCCTGAAATTTGTATAAGAATTTTAATGCAAAGGAATAAAATAGATTCAATATTAAATAATAAGTATTAAAAGAATAGCACGGTATTCAGTTGCAATAAAAATGTACAAGTAGTGTTACAGTGTGTCAAATAAGCATCCCCAAAAATTTTAGTGACAGGTAATGAAGTAGTGTAGTTGTAGTAGTAGTAGAAGTAGTAGTAGTACATGATTCTAATTACCATAAGATCGTAATGTAATAATTTGGAGAAAAAAAAAGGTAAGTTGAAAAATACAATTATAAACAGCAGAGGTGATGGTAAGTGACATTGAAGATACGTTGGGTTAGGAAAGGAAAAATTTTGACGTAAGATTTGAAAACTAATATTGATTTAGGGAGGTGTTGAAAAATATAGGATTAGGGTAGTAGTTTAAAATATGCACTTTTTAATTACCTGTAAAAATATCTTTGTAAATCTTCATCTTGGAAGATGGAATAAGATTTAATCGGAGCTAAAAATCGGGCCGCGCAGTCACACAACGGAGATGACCGGAAAGAAAGGCCAAGATAAAAGAATCGAACACAAACAGACAGTTGGGTGAGTTGGGTTCCTTGCAGGGTACGCCAGCGCTGAAAACCCGTCAGGATTCACGTAAGGTGACGATTACTGAAAGCTTGGGGAGTGGGCTACTCAACGCTAGCGGCACTAGCGCTGAGTATCCGTGTGAAATGCTGTGTAGTGGCGAAAATTAAAAGCTACGTGTGATGATCAGCTGTTCGGAATTCCGGAAAGAGTCGGGATCTCACGAGTAGCCCCGGCCCCGCGGAAATTGAAAATACTACGAAAATATGAAAAACTTTATTTTTAAATGTTATTCCTTTTGTTTTTCCACATTTCGATATTTATGTTGTCAAAAGACGTCAAAAACTTTCAATAGTAAGATGAAGGTAAGTAAAAATAAAATTCACGTACAAATTACTCGCCTTCGGCTCGGCCGATAATATAGCGTGGTCAGATGTAGCCCCAATTTTTGGCCGTGGTACGTATACTTTTTTTCCTTACACCTCCGCCGAAAGTTCGTCACCACGGTTTTAGTTTTGTTAAAAATGAAGGTTTAAAGATCCAGTCAAAGATTTAGTGCATTATGCATTATTGTTGATCGATCGGTCGCTCGAACAATACCACTTAAATGCACGTAGATGAGTGTACATGTGTATAGGTATATCTACATATTTAGCACTTATACGCTACCGATGACTGAGGAAAGGAGAAGGGAGGAGGGAGCTCTACGCTCGCCGAGACTGTAGTATATTATATAGAAACAGATTGGGCCGGGGANTTGATATCCAAAGGGTCATTTTTGATATTATATGCAATCGAACTCGTAGATTACGGGAAAAATAGTAAAAAACGTAGATTCTTAGTCAAACTATGTAAAATAGCGGCTAAAAGTTTATTTTGCAAATTTCGCGTAAATGGTAAGAGATAGGATGTAAATAAAAATATCAGCGTGTAGAGCGGAAAATTCTCTATCGATTTGGTCTTTCATTTTTTTTTTGACCAGCGCAAAATTTCGAGTTAAAAAATTCTGAAAGTATTTTGGCACGTACCTATGAGAGTGAGTGAGACAGAGTGAGAGATCACACTAGCAGACGATTGCAGGCACGAGGAGAGAGGAGAGAGCCGGTGCTATATATATGTAGCTCTAGTAGCTGCGACGCACTCGATCGCCTTCCGGCTGAAATATCCACTTCAGCTTTTGGCCCGAAAATTTTTCTAAGTCCTAATAACATTAATACGGGGAAAAAAAATTTGTTCTCCAGACATGATGTTTTTTATACATTATCTACGATTTCCTAGCGAATAAACATAGTCTCCAGTAACATTTTTTTCCAAATTAAAATCTTATTTTTCTTATTTTATTGGTTTTAAAATTTTATTTCGTTGTAGAAAATATGTTATGCATTGCATAGCTGTGCGGAGGGGCAAGAGAGGGGCGAACAGTTGAACACACGATGGATCGGCTTTTTATATTTGAATTGCGACACAATTTCAAAGTCCCCAAAAAAAACTGATAATGGTTAAATAAAAAAGTCTCTGAGAAATGATTTTTGAATGACATAGTCTTGAATTTTTTGGGTAAAATACTATTTTGTAGTTATATATTACTTGTAGAATTGTAAAAACACAATCAGCGTAGTAAAGTGAAATTCGTTGATTTTATTGAAATTTCATTTTTGCATAATCTGCAGGCGCTGGAATAATCGAAAAAATGTCATAGTGCTGTTTGTGTGTTGAAGCTCTGGTTTTCGTGTCAGTTCCAAATAGGTCAACTAAATTGTCGTTCCTAATGTTTAATTAAGTTATAGTTTCATGCAGCAAATAAATACAGTAAGATTGCAATGTTATTACTAGTGCACCATATGCATAATTCTGTTCCACATAACCTCGTCGTCAGCATGGCCAAAAATTGAATTATAAAATAAAAAATTAATATAAACACTGTGCAAGTATTTTCAGCACTAAATAAAAGTTTATACGTTGTAAAAGACATTATTTCATTTTTAAATGAGCCCCCTGTTTAAATTACTATAGCACTAAAAATGTAACTTATTTCAACCATTCCTAGTGTGTTCGTAGTTTTTACTACGAACGTAGTGTATTCACTGAAAAAATGAACATGTACGCCACCTGGCTGGAAAGTTACAAAACTGATAGTATTTTCTCTATTGCTGTCGTAAATATACTATAGACAAGTTTTCTTCTTAATTATTACTATTCACGTAGTAATTTTTCTATTGTAAAAGTATTGTAGCTATTTTCATAGTTAATATACTACGTCTAGCATTGGTCGGATTTTTTCCAATGCGTAGCGTAGTAATTTTTCTACAAAATTTTTTACTGTGCATGTAACGGGGTGAATTTTATCCGAGCAGAATAGAAACATTAACTGATTACTAATTAATGTTGACAGGTTGGCTCGTTCTATATTGCGCGAAGTCTCCCGAATAGAAATGTGCCGTAGCTTGCCTGACTGCCTGTGCAGGACCTGCACAGGCAAGATAGGCATTTTATGCATTTGTGAGTTCAGGCTGTGCACAGTTCCTGAACAGGTCCGGTGCTCTTGCCTGAACTGACATCAACTGTCTGCTACTACAGTATATAGTTTTAACCTTTTTTTCAATTAATCTAAAATGGAGCAAAACCATTATTCTCGACGAAAGACGCGAAATAAATATAGAATGTAAATTATTCGTAAAAGAAAAATTTTGGAAAAAAGAAAACCATACAGATTTAATGGAAATAATGAAAAAAAAAAGCTAAACTTACAGATAATATTAGTGAAAACTTAGCTGTACAGTTTGATAAGCAAGAAATTTAGAGCGATATTCAGCAAGAAATTTTTGAAGAATTAAACACAACTAATGACATTGTAAGAAAAAAAAAAAAAACAAACAAACAAGTGTCAATATTGATGAAGTTCGTGATTTGTATGTACAATTTCGGAAATGGAATTAGAAGTCAGTTCAGGACTAGATTATATTTGTCCAGGTTGCCTGAGCTAAGGCTGCCTGTGCAGGAGCCTGAGCAGGTCCTGTGCACATCGTTGGATAAAATTCCATTAATGCCTGAGCAGGTCCTGCGCAGGCAGCTCAGACACCTGTCCAGGACCTGTTCAGTGCCTGAACTCAATTTCTGTTCGGGCTATTTCGCAGTTCAATTTTACTTAAGGGTTTAGGGTAGCCGCCGCCAAGCAAGGCTGCCATCTGCCGATGTCCCAAAATAATTATGGGACTCCGACTCTCCCAATCCTGCACCCCTGCGCCCCTGGCCCCACCTCACTCCCCTAGTTCCAACCATATAGCTATAAGTACCCTTGATTGAGAACGGAGCGCAGAGTAACTACCGCGTGCTTACAAATCTTGGCAAACGTGTTAACGGGTATGTACCAAATCTCCCCGAATGCACGTGCTTAGAAATTTGATAATTGCTACGGTTTGTTTGATGTTACAAGTATTCGATATTTATTAACAATTGTCCTTTCATTTCATGAAAATTATAGCTTTCGAGAAGCAAACGTGATATAAAAAATGGCAGAATCCACAGATAACCTCGATAAAAAAGAAGAAAATGTCGAAGCCGGCGTAGAGGTTAAAGAGGACTCGGCAGAAGTGGAGACTCCGGAAAACAATGTAACGGAAGAAGCAACCGAGGCCACGGAAACGCCAAGTAAAGCTCCCGCGAGCGAGGAACCCTCGGATCAAATGCTCACCAAAATTCGTAAACAAGTCGAGGTAAGTAGTCTCATAACGTAAACTCTACAAGCGCATCATTCTCGTGTCTATAATTTTCACACTACCCTATTACTATTAATATAATACTTCTGTCACTTAACAGTTTTACTTTGGAGATGTGAACATGCATCGAGACAAATTTCTCATTGAACAAACTAAATTAGACGATGGCTGGGTACCTATGTCGGTTATGTTGAACTTTAAGATGCTTGCCTCTATGAGTAAGGATCCCCAAGTTATTTTGAAAGCCTTGGAAGATAGCGATCTGATTGAGATATCAAACGACAGGAAAAAAATCCGTAGATCACTAGATAAACCCTTGCCAACGTACGATGAAAATTATAGAAAAGACCAGGAAGCAAGAACAATTTACTTGAAAGGATTTCCCGCTGACGCGAAAATTAGCATGTTCCAAGAATATTTTGAAAGCACAAATGCTGTTGAAAATATAATTGTAAATATTATTACTCCAACGTACTTGATATTATTTTTCTTTAAAAAAATTGCCATCACTACAATGATTGATATTTTCCAGATGAGAAAGTACAAAAAAGGAAAAGAGTATTTTTTCAAAGGATCTATTTTAGTATTATTCAAAACTGTGGAAGATGCCAAAACTTTCATGAGTCAAGAATCTATCAAATATAAAGACACAGAATTAATTAAAATGTGGCTGTAAGTAGACATATTGCATTTTCATTGTAGTTTAATTAAAATTTCACTTTCTACATCAAACTGAATTTATTATTAAAGTTAATTGGTATTTTTAACTTGTATGATTACAGCAAAGATTACATAGAGTCCAAAGGAAAAGAAAAGGAAGAAAAACGACAGAAAAAGAGTGAAAATGTAAGTATTTTTTAATATACCAAATATGCCGAATTTTATTAATTTTTTATGTACTTTTAATTATAATGTTGCAGCCTAAGGGATCAAAAAATCACAAAAAGAATACTCAAAATGTTTTTCCTAAAGGTTGTATATTGCACATATCTAATATAGAAAAGGGAATCAAAAGAGAAAATATTAAGGAAAAATTCACCGAGTTGGATTGTAAAGTGGCATTTGTTGATTTTAATATTTCAAGTACTGAAGGATATGTTCGTTTGGATGGAGAAAACGCAGCAGTGAATTTTTTGAAACAACTAGATTCAAATATTGTTAGTAATTTTGATAGTGTATAAACATTCATAAACATTTTTCTTTTAAGATAAGTTGTTGAAAAATACTTTGTCTGCAGATAAAAATAAGTGAATCTGACGTCACTTGTACTTTATTAGAAGGAGAAAAAGAAGATGCCTATTGGAACAAAATAAAAGTAATAAAGAATCATAACAAATCTAACTGGCGTGACAAAGGTACTTGAATTTATTTTAATAAATTAACTCTGTCAATATTTATTCACATGATGATTTGCCATGCTAATACTGAAGGATCTTTAGGATTCTACTGAGTTGAAATTAATCACAAACTGATGAATGTTATCCAATCAAATTCATATATTAGTGTTCTAAGAAAGATTTTTTCAAATTGTATTTTTTTCAGGTCGTCATGGAAGAAAAGGTATGAAGCGCCGCCATAGTCCACACAGAAACGAAAACGCCAAGAAAGCTAATTCTGATGACTAGTAATAAAAATTTCTTATTTTATTATTTTAAGTTTTTAATGAAAATATGTTGTAAAATATATTCCCACCTTTGATGTTAATTATAATAGTGTATTGTTTTGTTATATCCCAATGTAACATAAAAGTATAGTCGTTTTATAAATCATACATAACAATTTTGACAGTGTATGTATACGTATGTACATGTATGTAAATTGGTATAAATTTTAACTCATCTCATTTTTTAAATTATGAATGGTGAAAAAAAAGTTGGAAATCGTAGTTTTTTGTTTTTAATAAGTGAGCACTTTATTAAAAACAGACGATTTTTACTTATCTATGTAACGAAGTTTGTTATTTGTTACTCGGCAATAGATTTTAATACTTCATGTTTGTAAAAAAAAAAAAAATTTTTTTTAATAATATTTGGAATTTTTCAAGTTATCACTTACTATACAGTGTAAAGAAGTCTGCTTTAAAAAAAAAAAAGTTTTTTAATATCCATTTATTTTATAACACTTATTAAAAAAAAAATTTTTTTAATGAAAAATATTCTCATTATTTTACAGTACGCTTTTTTCAAAAACAATTTACAGTTAAATCACAAGTGTAATCACTTTCTGTATAAGTGTTCGTTGTTAACACAAAGAATAAAATGACGCATATAAATTATTTTATTGAGGGTTTTTTGTATCTGCTTTTGCAGATTTTGATTTTTTCACTTTAGAAGATGATGTTGCAGAATCCGATTTTTGTGTAGGCATAGGTTTTGGAGGACTGTCTGTCTTGGATTCTTTAGTATTTGCATTGTAATTTTGTAGTTTTGGAGCAATTAAATCAGGAAAAACTTGTTGCAGAGGTACTCTACCTAGGAACTCTGCGTGATCAGAACCAAGCCATAAAAATCCATCATGTATATAAGCTGAAGTAATACCACTCATTTTCCTATTTGTCCCATAAGCTGCATCTATTATCTCACCATTTTTATTCATTCTTGCAACGACAACAACATTTGGAACTATGAAGATAATGCTTTCAAATCCTCCCACAAAATGAATAAATTGCTCAGTAAAATAATTTGGATAGTATGATTGTAAGCACTTGAATGGTGCTTCTAACAACATGAGAAGTCTTGCTGCCAAGCGTCTGAGGTTGGGATAAGGTATCAGAAACTGCGGCAGTATAGGATTTTGTGAATCTGCATAGGCTGCAAAACTGATCAAATATCCATTTTTTGTGTCTGAATGTATATTATCAGGCATGCCTGGAAGACCTTCTACAAAGATCTCACTTTTACCAGCATTACTACCCTTCAAGTTGTATTTAGTAATACGTGATGTTGAGGTTTCTGAAACAATCACAAAACTTTCATCTTCACTTAAGGCGACGCCATTGGCAAATCCCAAATCATGGACAAGAACTTGATTTTTCTTGTTTGCAGCATTGTATCGAATCAATCTATAATTATAAAAACATAACATCAATATGACTGCAATATTTTTGAAGGTAAGGGGTGTACCAATTTACTATCTATTTTATTAGTAAATTATATTAAATATTCTTTGTACAAACCTTCCAGACGGATTGGCAATCATACAATAAATACCATCTTCAAGATGAAAATTAGAACAAGAATCTGACCAATAAACGTCACCGTTACTAGCAATATCTAATGAATTAATTAACATGGGTCTCTTTCCTTCGATGGGATCTTTACTATCAACAAGTTGCTCATACTTCCCAGTTTTCACATCAACTTTGAAAATTCCGTAGTAAGCGTCGTTTACGTATAGAATGCCCTTCTTGTCAAATTTAAGTCCTAGAGGCCGACCGCATTTAGATTCTTGCCATAATCCATCTGCAGGTCACAAAAAGACATTTCCTTTAAAATTTTACTAAAAATAAAAAAATATAAAAAAAAAATTCACCCGCGTTTCGATAAGTTAGATTAATCAGGAATTACATTACAGTTTGAGTAAATTTTTAATTTGATTTACAGTCTGTGAGCTATACTTAATATAACTCACCGCAATCTTGTCCAAACTTGACAACAGGTACAAGTTCATTGTTAGTTATCCTAAGAACGTAACCTCCTTGGGCAGAAGTATAAAGTTCTCCATCATAAGATGCAAATGCTTCGGGACCTTTAACTTGGCCTTGGAATAAAATTTCAACATTATTTAACTTCTCGTTGAGCGCCAAGTTTTTGGGTAGTTCTCTAGCTGGAACAATGCTGTTGATAAAATTTTTGTCTGTTAATTTAAGTAATAACTATATATTATATGTATATGCATACCGCATGGTCGTTTCGGTCAATTATGCGTTATTTAGGTAATATCCAACATATCAGTAAAGCGAGCAACTACCAAAAGACTAAAAATTAACTAATTGTATCAAAATGATTGTACCATGATTAATGGGAAAACAGAAAAATCCTACCCAATCCAGGATTTAATTATATAATAATAAAAACAAGAAAATAAAGTCCATGCTGGTGAGTGCTTTTTTTATGCACAAATAACAAATAAGGATATACCTGTATTGTTCGAACGTGGCATCGGGAGGAATTCCGGGAATAAAAGCAATTGCAGCAAGAATGACAGCAACGCTAAAGAATCCTACAAACAGTGATTTGAGAAAAGCCATGTTCCTTCTCAACTTATTTGCCGATGATGATCGATATTTCGGATTCACAAATATCCCGAGTGGATCGATCCGGCCGGTATTGCTTTGTTTTATTTATTGGCTTCAAGATGCGCACATTGAAAAAACAAAACTGTACTCTCTCAATGGTAGTGTGCATACGGAGTTATGTTAATTCATCAACTCTGAGTCTATAAGTACATATTCATATATTATGTACTCTCTTGACCACGAAAAAATTTGTACAAATACATACGTATACCCTATATACCTTTACATCGGGTAACATACACACACGCGCACACACAGTAGTAATTAAATAAACAATAAGGATAACTAGGCGAAATTCAACAAGTGGTTTGATCTAATGGTTGCCAACATCGCGGCGGACAAGATGCGGAGTCATTGCAGGAAACCAGAGCCAAGAAAACCGGTATGTATGATCATATATATATACCTACAGATGCGTATATATAAAAGAAGAGACGGAAGACGGGGGGAATCTAAGAAAGAGGTAAGTAAGAAATATGTTTTTCAATAAAGATATCCTCGTGAGAAGAGATAGTTTAATACCTTTATATATATATATACATATACAATTTACATCGTACACTGATAGCTGATATTCATAGATTTTTGCGGATTTGTAAAATTAAAAAAAAAATTTATTCCTCAATATATGTCATTGGATTTACGTACTGGCTTTTTAAAAACTTATTTTCAGTTAACTAAATTTCACCGACTAATATTTTTCCCCGCACAGTAAAAAGTTACGTAAATGTATCATATATCCTATGAAATGTTTCATTTTCATAAGATTATTTAATTTAGCTTTCATGTGTATATATCGCCAATGCAATCGTGCTTTTTATTTTTTAGTGTCATTCCATGTGTTCAAAATGGCAAAATTTTACAATAATTTAACATTCGAATCATGCACTAAAAATTACATATGTTAATTGATCGATACCCATACGTATAGTACTATTTGTTCTTGAAACGTTTCAGGAACGACGTGTAATTAAATGTACATCAAAACGTATATGTAAAAAGAGATTTTGTCATAAGTACCTTTTAGCACGTTGATATAATTACCGTGAGTATCGGTATTGGGTATTTAAAGAAATATTAATTTTCGTATCACAAAAGCGTCATCTGTACAGCGCCAATACCCACTGAATGTTTTTTTACATGATTTGTCCATCACACATACTAATGAGGTTCAAACCAATTTTTTTATTTTCGTATTCACTATATACTTCAAAATCTATTACGTCTGCTAAGGCATATTCGGGTCCGTAGACTTTTTTGACCATAAGTATTGTTTGGTTCAATTACTCAAATAGGTCTTGTTTCATTGTCTCGAAATCGTTTTAGGTACGGTGTGGTTGCGAATTAAAAAAATGTTTTTTTTTTTAATAAGCCATAATGTATCAATTACCGTGTAAGGATATTAAATTATTAATGAAAAAAAAAAACAAAAACCAACAACCAGGTGGACAGATTGAATTGTTACAATTGAAACGCATAGATATGAAAAGAATTGTTTTTTTTCTATTGGTATAATAAAAAACGTATATACTAATTAATTATAAACTTCAATATATTTTACGCGAGTAAGTATATTATAATATACGCGCTTACCATTGTAAATATGCATGTGAATGGGTGTACGCGGAAGTCGCAGTAGGTTGCGTTGCGACAGCGACGACGAGAGAGCAGCGGCGCTTCCCAAAGGCGATCGATTAAATATTGTTCCGTTTGTGTGTGACTCCTCCGCTCGCGATTTCTTTTCTTTTTGCCGCGTTTTCCAACTAATTCGATACACAATATCCCCGGGTTGCCGTGTACTTAACAGTCGAAAAGTATTATGTACTTTGGATCATCGTGACAACTAAATTGTGCAACTAAACCGAGAGGGTACACGTACATGATTATTTTCAAACAAATGTTTGTCCTCTCTCGTCTCGAGCGCGCGTAAAACGTATAGGTACAATCAACGAGTACAAGGTACTTGAATTTTGTTTCAGTTTGCCGTCGGTTATAAAGCGCACAAAAACGCCTTTTCCCGGCTTAGAACTATAACAAGTGATCGTATCGTCAAGGTGTACTTAATAAGTACACATCATAATCCTCGTATCGAGCGCACCTGGTCGATCTACCGCCAACCACACCCAACATAACAGCATTTAGAAACTCCAATAATCATTCCCATAGAATATTCAGGTACTTGTGCGTTAATTTCATTCAAATGATTGGTTTTCATGATAATTTTTTTTTTTTTAATACGAATTTAATATTCGCAAAAGTCGAACCAATAAGTGTATACATACATACATACAATGATGATATTTAAAATGCCGCTACCTGAGATTCAACGGTAGTTGAATAACGTGTATTAAGTATATATGTGCTTGCAGTTCAACGAGCGGTATCTGCCAAGCGGAAAATGACAGGGCCGACAGTTGCAAGGTCGTCACCCTTCAACAGGCCGGGGAAAGTAAAATTGTGGTTGCTAGCCGAAGTCTATTGGAGAGGGAGAAGCACCCCGACCGAATATGCCTGGACAAACGCGCTCTGACGACGTTTCCTTGGATAGTCGACGAGCCGAAGCTCCGTCTGATATCGCTCCAGCACAACTCGATAACGAGGATCGAGAAGAGTTACCTCGCCCACCTCACCAAATTGGTCTTTTTGGACCTCTACGACAATCAAATCGACAAGTTTTGCCACCTCGACCCGCTGGAAAATCTTCGGGTCCTGCTCATGGGTAATCGCCATCAAATTCACATGACTCACTCCACCCTTACTAATAAATAATCACATGGTTGTTCAGGCAAGAACAAAATTAAAAAAATCGAGGGCCTGAAGAAGCTGTCGAGGCTGGAGGTCCTGGATCTACACGGTAACCAAATAACGCAGGTGAGCGGCCTCCAGGAGTTGGGCCTCCTGAAGGTCCTCAATCTGGCGGGCAACAACATAAGGAGCGTCGGCTGCGCCGATCTCCAGGGACTGGTATCCCTGAGGGAGCTGAACCTCAAGCGCAACAAGATAAGGAAACTCCACGGGCTGGAGAACACCCCGCAACTGCAGAAGCTGCACCTGAGCAACAACGAAATAAAAAAGATCGAGGACATGAGCAGCGTGACGAAGGCCCCGTTCATCAGGGTCGTGTCCCTCGACGGCAACCCCGTGGCCCTGACGCCCGACTGCGTCGCCTTCCTCGTGTCGTACCTGCCCAACCTACAGGTACTGTCGGCGATGCAGGTCAACGAGCAGGTGCGCAAAAACGCCCTCGCCTGGCGAACCGCCAAGGAACAATCGGACTCGGCCTTCTTGGACCTCAGCGCCCAAGTATGCGGCGTCCGGCCCCGCCACGACGAGGCAACAAACATCACCAAACAGCCCGGCCCAACGACCACCTGCCTCCAGCTACTATCACCCGGCAAACCAAAGGGCGAGGGAGCCGAGGATCCGGGCAAGGCCACCTCGAAACCCGTCGACCTGTCCAGCTCCATCCTGACGCGGTCGGCCAGAGGCGTGGCGCAATCGAGGAGCAGGTGCCCGAGGAGCCGACACCACCAGAAACCGAACCGCATCCGAAGCTCCGTGTCGGACGGCGGCCACAGGGGGACCAACCACCGGCCGAGCGAACTCGACTTTAAGCTGCCGCCCATCTTGGCCCCGATAATCGACAACCTGACCAGGAGCTGCAACCACCACCAGCAGCTACGCCCACCCGGCAATAAGAGCCGCGGTGGAAAGGCCCTCGCGTCGGACTGCTGCTGCGGCTACCGGTCGTCCGACAGCTCCGACGTCGAGTCCTCGTCGGAGAGCCACCGCAGCCTCAAGAGCGCCCTGCGGAGCCACCTGGTGAGGTCGTCGGGGCACTCGGTCACCGCCAGGGCCGACGGGGAGAGCGTCAAGTCGAGGGGCAGCTTCGACTTTTGCCCGAAGCTCCTCGAGGACGGGGCGAGTGGGCGGGGTCGCGGGGGCCGGTGGACCGGCCGGGAGAGCCATCGGTCCTCGATCTCGAAGAGCAGTAGCTTGGACAGTGGCAACAAGTCCCTCGTGGATGACTCGAGCAGCTCGACGGGGTCCAAGTCGAGCGGGGTCGCCCGGGTGACGAGCGCGCCCTTCGGGAACAAGCCAGCGGTCCACTACCGGAGCAACAGGGCCGCGACGGCTCGAGCCAAGCGCGGCGGCGACGTGTCCTCGCCGACCACCAGTCCGCCAACTCCGCTGCTTCAGCCGCTCCCGATTCCGAACAGGGAACAGGGTAGGCGAGTTTTTCGCGCTTTTGTTTATTCATTTACGGTAGCTTTCGAATATACCTACATATTACTATACATGTCCATAGGAGGCGATTACTTGTTGGAAATCGTTGGTCGGTGTTTGAACGTGTATGGTCAGGGGGCCCTGAGATTCATCGATTCGCCGAGGCAGTGGGACAGGGCCAACGACATAAACTTGGTGAAATTCAATTACGTGCACTTCAACTCGATCGCCGTGGTGTTGAACAAGTTGAAAAAAAAGTTTCCCAACGCCGTTAACTTTGAGTTCAAGGAAACAAACATTTGCCACGTTGGCCAATTGAACGCACTTGCCGAAGCCCAGGGACTCGGCACGATTCACATTGAGCACGAAGGCAATCCCATTATGACCAAGAATTGGATCGTCTACGCGATTTTTCGTCTGGGCCACTGGGGCTTGCACACTATAAACGGCATGCAAGTAGGATTTTTGTCATTTAATTAGTTGTACTATATGCTATTAATTATATCATACATTATTACCATACCATTAGATTTCAAAGTCAAATAACAATATAATATGTATATGTATTATACGTTTTGTATTTTATACACGGCTGGACATGGGTGACCGGCATGTTGATGACGATTTATGTGACGCGTAACAATTAATTCATCGTTTACGCGTTATTAATGCAGATAACGGAAGAGAACATGCTTTCGGCAAATCAAGAATATTCTGGTCTGGTAGACATCGTCATGTGGGCGCTGCCTGATGACCTTTTGCAGCCACTGTTGCACCGATTGCGCTTGGAACGGGTACAAAAGCACACTGGCGAGCAGATGACGGCCAAAGAATTTTTATTCAGCTGCGACTCGACGCTAAGGAGTGTGGTATCCAAGGAAGCTTTACAGTGGCGCAGGAATTACGTTACGCAGGTTCGTTTTCATACTAAATTTGGATATTTTTTCATGAAGATAAAAAAAAAACCATGTGTACATATTTTGTTTTTACTTTTTCAATAAATAGGAAGATCTGATCTGGAGGCACAAGGGAAAGATTTTTTTTTCAAGTGCGATCGAACAAACCGTGCAATCCATTGAAAAGTTGAAAATTTTGGACAAAGAGTGGCCAAACATATTGCGTGAAATAGTTTACGACACTCTCGGCTATTACTCAAACATGAACGATTACATGAAAAGTTGCATCAAAGATCTTGAGAACAATAAGTGACCATGTGTATGTACCTAATTTTTTAGGCATAATATATTATATATACTCGTACACGGGGTACATATCCGGGGTACATGTATGCACGTATATATACATAATTAAAATACTGTTGCCATTTTTACAATTTAGAGAGTTTAACCATGAATAAATGTACCTATTGTTCAAGAGAGTCGTATGGTCATGAATACAACACTTCCATTTAAATTTAACCACGCAATCTTTAATGGTGTTTTTTACATATATGTTACTGTTAAAAATGTGTATAAAATGTAATTGCCGAAATTACATGCCGCGAATAAAAATAATAACATTATTAAAATACATAATTTTTATTCAATAACCCTGAATAGTATCACTGTATATCCTAAAGCAGGCGTAGTAGGGATCAAAATCAAAATTTAAGCACCCCCCTTGAGCCAACATTTACCTATTCAGAGAGAATTCAGAATTTTGGCACCTTATCTTTTTAATGGGCTGTGTGTTTTTTGGAGAGAGAAAAAAGCGCGCGCGCGGCGTTACGGCTGTGGCTGTCTGCTTGTATATGGGCCTGTCGGTCAAGTGCCATATTATAATAAACACCTCTTCGTTTCATTGAAAACAAAATGTTAATCCGTTTCGTATACATTTATTTATGTAATTCAATCTAGAACTTGATTGTTATTCTTGGTGTCCGGTGTGATTACCGTACTGCAAATATAAATGTTTTTTTATGTTACGTATACGTGTCAAGTAAACATTAAACTAACCTCACTTTGGCCTTCAGTTTACAAATTAGTGTAAATGTCAACAATAAAAATAAAGTTAATGTGTACCTGATACGTTTTCATAATCATGAGAAAAAGTCAATCCATTAAACAATACTTGTATAACAGTACTAGTAAATTAACGGCGTAGTGTGTAGTGTAGTGTCTTTATAGGAGTCACATCATTAATACGCTGTGCTTGTAAACAACAATGAATCGTACATATTATTGGATGAGATATTTTCTGCTTATGATAGCAGTACACTGCATTCATGGCTTCTCTAACCAGGTATGTTGTTCATAATAACCTACTAAAGTATGATTACTCAGTAATGTATAAAAATATTTTCTAGATACCAGAGAATTTTTTTAAAACGGGTCACTCAAACAATTGGGCAGTTCTACTTGATACATCTCGATTTTGGTTCAATTATCGTCATGTAGCCAACGTTTTGAGTATATACCGCAGCGTGAAACGTTTAGGCATACCTGATTCACAAATAATATTGATGATTGCTGATGACATGGCATGCAATCCACGGAATCCCCGTCCGGCCACCGTTTTTAACAACATCAAGCAGCATATCAATGTTTACGGGGACGACGTAGAGGTTGACTACAGGGGCTACGAAGTCACGGTGGAAAATTTTGTACGACTGCTGACTGGCCGTCTAAAGCCGGAGACGCCACGATCCAAAAAGCTCCTCACCGATGAGGGCTCAAATATACTCATTTACTTGACTGGTCACGGGGGCAATGGCTTCCTCAAGTTTCAAGATTCGGAAGAAATAACTAGCCAAGAACTAAGCGATGCTCTTGAGCAAATGTGGCAGAAAAGACGTTACCACGAGGTCCTCTTCATAGTTGACACCTGTCAGGCGTCGTCCATGTACGAAAAATTTTACTCACCCAATATTCTTGCTGTGGCTTCCAGCTTGGTTGGCGAAGATTCACTTTCCGTAAGTCCTTTTTTTACTTTCTATAACTATATTGGATTTTTTCATTTATTAAAAGATTATTAGATCTCTATTTTTGATTTTGGGATTTATTTTTTTCTAGCATCACGTTGATCCAGCTATTGGAGTTTATATAATAGATCGTTATACTTATTATGCACTGGAATTCCTGGAAACGGTTGAGCCATTCAGCTCAAAAACACTAAGTGAATTCGTAAGTTGGCTACCCTAAATTAACAATATTTTACAATTTCCATTATGATGCTTTTACTTATTTGGAGTGTTTTACTTTTCAGTTAAAAGTATGCCCAAAGCATTATTGCCTGTCAACAGTTGGCGTGCGGGAAGATTTATTTAAAAGAGATCCAAAAACGGTTCCAGTCACTGATTTTTTCGGATCTTTGAGGCCCGTCGAGTTGACATCGAATATTATAAAGTTGGTTGATATTGTGAAAAATAATCAATCAGTTCCTACGGAAGCCAAAGAAAAATACAAGTACGGTTCATTGTTTCCAAGTTTTCCTCAGTACAGTTAGATTTGAGGTAATAATTTTTTACAACATTTTTATAATTTACAATTAATTTTTGTACAAGTTATATCGATACGTGTATTACACGTTTGAATCCAAATATTTTAATCCATCAATTGAGGTATTTCACAAACACAGTAAAAAAATCTGTACATAAGATAAAATGCAAGCATAGTATTTAGGGGCATCCTTATGTATCACAGAGGTGTCGGCAAGTCGGAGACCAATTTGAAATTTTTCATTTATTAAGTCCATTAGTTTAAAACTTTATTAAATCATCTAATAAAAGAGAAAAAAAAGACTGGTTCATACTTTGTTATACTTACAAATACAAAACAATCCATAAAAGACCATTAACTGAAATGAAAGGAATGTCACGGGGAAAAAAAAGTCGTGCAGTCGCTTTCAGAGTATTATTTATTTTAGTTATTGATATAAAAAGCTACTTTTTATTAGTAATATCAATGTTGAGTGTGGAAATGTTATGATAAATTTGTATCCTGTTTCACTAAATTTTTTGAAAAGTACGTCGTTATTAACTGTTTTTCAAAATCAAAGACAAAAATAATTCGCTTGTATAATATTATGCGCACATGAATGAAAAACAAAAAAATTTAGCAAGCACATACTTGGATGACTATACGATAAAGTTTCACGATAAAATTCGTATGAAATAAAATAAATTAAGTACAATGATAAAATTGCGTTACAATAATCTTTTTCTAATGGTATTTGCCTTAATACGTTGTACCTAACTTGTCAAGCTTTTAAAATTTTGTATATTTACTGCCAACAATAGTTTAGCAAAGTGAACCGTGAATTGGTTTGAAAAATTTAATAATGACGCGCGCACCGCGTAAAACCTAATTCACCATGATGAATCACACAAATTTACGTAATCAGGTATATACATGAGGCAGTGAGATAGGTATAACGTACAAGGTAATAAAATACTGATTGTAAAAGTATAATACACATTCGTCTAAGGCTTGCGCCAATACTACCCGGCACACCTTCCTTGGCAACTCGATATTATTCATAATCCGCATGTAAAAGTATCAAAGAATTGTAATGAACAAAAAAAAAAAAAAAAAAAAGGTGTTAAAAGTCGCTCGAGTCTTACGAGACTGTGAAAGTACCGTCCTTGGCTGTTGTTTTGGAGTACGCGATGTTTTTTTTACCAGACGCGTGCAGACTTTTCGTTGCAATTTTCGTTTCCATGGAAGCGCCGTCACTTTTACCGGTATGATTATAATTTTTTTTCTTGCTACCGGCGTTGCTTATCCTTATACTGCTACTGTCTGAAAGTGAAAAAAACGTGATACTATCCCATGCAAACGACATGGCGAGACACAAAAGTGACGAGGGAGCTTACGAAAGGGAGGCGGATCTTTGGCGTTGCAGGGGCCGGCGTGCCTCGTTTCCAAGACGATGCCCGTGAAACAGGATTCTTTGATGATGTGGCACCAGCTCGGGTAAGTGAGGTTGTTGGAGGCGCAGAGGGCCGGCGGCGAGTTGTCCCGGTGCTCGCGTCTCCTGTTGCGCTCGCGCGTCAACTCCCTGCTCCTGGGGCACCGGTACAGGCACGTCACGCACCTCGGCCGCGACGTCCCGGCTTCCTGGAGGCACAGCTGGCCCGGTCGGCACTGCACGCTCGAACAATCCCTGTGCTCTACACACGTCACGCAAACAACATTATATTGTGCACGTGCATAATTATATAGACGGTCATCCATCCCTAGCACCACCACCATAGGTACACCTACTCCTTCGCCCATTTCCATAGCCCCGCGGCAACTCCGAGGCCCCGTGTGATAAATCGAGCGTCCGCCTCGCGCGATAAATAATGACTCGCCGGTGCAAAAAAGTGCAGTCTGCGGCTGACACTCGCCGCTTCTCTATACACACTCCATCTCCGTCAAGGCTTTTTCTTTTCTTCCCTATACTCGTATACGTTTCCTTCCGTCGTCCGTCCATGTCCTTGTCCCCCACCCCTTACACTCAACTTTATCAACTGTATACCCGTCGGCTACGGGTTATATTAATAGCAACACACCAATAAAAATGATAATGGTGCAGGTTAAGTATTTCCCGATGGATAGATCCAAATGAAAGTTATCAATTATAATCGATATACTTACCTCGGGGATACGTGATACCATATATAATATGATATTTATATAATTATATATAAACACGATGTAACGCAAAGATGGACGAAATCGTAATTCACGGGGGTGTATATACTTGTGCGCGTGATTAATGAGTTTCATGAGTAGGTACAACCCAAATACACGTTTATATAAAGGTTTAAATTGTATAAGTATACACCACGGGAAAAAAGAAAAAAAATGTCCTCTTGACCATGTTGGGGCTAATCGTGCGTTTAGATGCGGCGATGTACTTACCGCAGGGTCCCCGGTAGGCGATAGCAATGGCCCGGCCGCTTCTGCATGCCTCGGCCCTCAATTGACAGTAGCCTGAAATTGCATTTGTGGCGATGTAACGAAAATAGTAAGGGACGGTACGCTGTTGATAAAAAAAAAGGCACGTAAGTACTCTTGTAAGTTTTGCCGTCGACGCCGCACAGGCCAAACTCGTCGTCGAGCGGTGGTTGGTGCAAGTGGCCAAGCAGGCCCCCGACGGGCCCGCGCGCCAACTCGGCTTGCTCCGCTCCGGGGCTACACCTGCGCGAGCACTTGACGCAGTGGGCGCTCAGATTCTGGTCCAACAGGCAGCTACGCCCGTGCCGGCAGCGCACCCCGGCGCAGGAACCTAAACAACGTCGCGTGTCTTATTATCAATTGGGTCCCCCCCCGTGTGTGTGTATATTTATAATATATGTATACCTGCGCATGGGCCCCGATAAGCGATGGAGATGGCCCGTCCGGTTCGGCAGACCATGCCCCGCAGGTGGCAGGCGCTCTTGTAGGTGTTGCCGTCGCTGCCGCACACCGGTGTCTGCTGTTGGGCCCTGCGGTGCCTGGCCGGAGCGCAGTCGTTGCATAGACACCGTGGGGCCCCCCTCCGTAGGACGCAGCGTCGCCCGGCCGGGCAGCGCACGCCCTCGCAGCTGCTCGAGCACGAGTCGCACTTGACCCCGCCGCCGAGCACCTGCCAGAAGAACAGGGCCCCGTTGTCGTAGTCCTCGTCGCTGTATGCCGTCATGAGCGTCGTCGTCGTCGTAGTCGGTGGATCGGGCAAATGACGGCTCGAGCAGCACTGCTCCCGCGTCACGCCCTGCGACAGCATCTCCTTGCACCGGCCCAGGCTGTTCACCTTGGACCAGCACGACCCTCCTGTCGCATATTACAATCACACCCACCCGCGTCACACTACATATTATGGCCCTTCATTTTTTACTTGCCGGCTTAAAGTTAACTGTCTGATATGTAGATCCTGTGATAACTATATAATATACATCGACGAGTTACGTAAATTTAAGTATATCGAGTTGAAGCTACGAGCGCGTATTTTCAATATACCTACCCCCTTTGCGCGTCGTTTGTACGTGTTTTTTCCTTCAACTACATACACGTTACAGAACCTCACACGTGAACAAATTTCTCTCATGTACAATCAAAACAAATGAACTTATTAAATATTTTTGCCCCATAATTTTTCAAAATCACGCAGCTGTTGTGGTTTTTCAAAATTTGTTTTACGCAAAAAATAAGGAAAATTTGTGCACATTAGCCACATCAGCGATGACAATATACTTAAAAGCCGGTAAATAAATAATAAAGGTGACATAAAAAGTACGGGTAATAGTGTGGGTGTTTGCAGATATAATGATTTATCCAATTTATTGATAACAAGGAGACAAAGGTTAAAAACAAATAGGATGAACAAAAAAAGTGTGTTACTCGCGTAATGGGCATAACCCTGTACACTCTATATTATTACGGAGATATATAGGGTACTCGCAGATACGTAGGTAGGTAGGTAGGTATATGTTTACGTACGTATATATTTCATACGTGCAGGTAAGTAGGCTTATAAGACGAGACGTTGCAGAAAGAGATGAAGCGAAACGCAATAAGTATGAGTATATAAGCTGCATAATAAGTATACGTGGTGCAGCAGGTAAGTATAACACACACACACACACACATATATACATATACAGCACAACAGAGCAGTCTCGCGTGGGCTTAGAGAGATAGGCAGAGATAAAGAGAGATGGAGGAGAGATAAGGAGGTGAGTGATATTCATGAGAGAATAAAGGGCAAAGAGAGATGGAGGATAAAGCAAAGCAAAGCAAAGTAAAGTGCGCTACACACACACACATATATATAGGTGTATATAAGTAGAGGAGAGAAGAAGGAAGAAGAAGAAGAGCGCGCGATCGCCGATGGGGGAACCAGTTTGCGGGTCAGTGATCCTCCGCATCGGGGGCTCGAATCAGCTGCTGGTGCACGATCGAGAGAAGAAGAGAGAGAGAGAGCCCGGGGATGCCGTGCAAGGATGTTATGTCCCCGCAGGACTCTCTCGTCACGTCTAATGGGGATTCTTGAGACAATGGGCGGAAAACGAGGATGATAAATAAAGGGAGCGCATACAATGTATAATGTTTAGTGTATACGCCGTACTAAGCCAAGAGATTGCATATATACAGAGAGGAGTAGGATATTAATGATAGTAGAAGGATTATACCTACATAGCCATATACTGTAATAAGAAAGAGGAGGAGGAGGAACGGTGCTCTCCGCAAGGAGTTGGTAGATTGTCGGTGATGGTACCTACATAGGTATTGTGATACTGTGTAATATACGTGTATATCGGTGGAGGCAAATGCAAATGCCGTTTTGTTTTGGCGCGCAAATATATACCTATGCATATATAATATGTATATATTATATGTGTACACGGATCGCGGGAAAAGCAGGCCTAAGCCAGCCGTCAATGTCACGTTGCGTCCGTCCGTCCGTCTGTCTTTCGGTGTAACTTATACAGAGCGGCGAGAGAGCGCATACACAGCAAAGAATGTGAATGGCTCTCCTTTCCGCTTCATTCTCCTCTCTTCTCCGCGCGAGACTCGGCAAATCGGAGTCGCGCGGCTGCAGCGGTTGCACCGAGTCGCGGGGACTGCTGCATATATAATCCACTTGCCGAAGCAGCGGCCAAAATGCTATTCGCTACAATGCACACACACAGGTATGTATATAATACATACACACCTGTCTACGTGTATTATTTTTATTTCATCCACGGACGTATTGTATTGTATATTGTATATTGTAAACATAATCATGTCGAAAGTCATCGTATGGTCAATCGTAGTAATAATCGTATCAAAGTTTATCTCATTAATGTATGGAGATCGGTATAGCGTGTAGCCGATCGGAACGGGGGAGGTAGGTGTAGGGGATCGGTATATTATAATGGCTATATATAGGTGTTAGGTATTGTATAGATACACTCACCCGTGGCGGGTAGGGCGCGCAGGAGGAGCAGGGCTATTATCAGCGGCAGCGGGTGCGCGCCGGTGGCCCGTGCCCGTCCAGGACTGCAACTCTGTCCCGTCATTCCAGATCCATTAGCATCGGCCACCGTACCTTCGCTCCTCCTTCCCTCCTCCTACCTCTGGTTCCCGCCATCCTGGACGCAGATGCCCCCGTCGCTGATCGTACGATACATATACACGCGCTACTGGTGCCGTTGTCGCGACATGCCGACCGGCAGCAGCCCACGCGACATTATACGTAATTATATTGCGGGCAGAGGGTATTTTTTTTATTATATCACATATACGTACTTGACTGATCCGGCGTTGCCCCAATATTACACACCACTGCTGGCTGTTGTTTATTTTTTATCTTTTATACCCGAAATAATATGTATATGTATGTATTTTAGCCCATCGCTTATACTGATGAATTTCTGTATGTGTTATGTATTTTGAATCACAGGTGGAGAGTCACCGCGAAGTGGGAACAGCAGTGGCTGTATGAGCGTGCAAAAACGTAAAAAGACCAGATAAGTGTAAGTATTTAGGTTTCAAAATTGAGTAGGTATATACGATAATGATGATTTATCCAATGCCGATTCCTTCGCCAGCTAAGTAAGGTATAGGTACTTATGTGCTGTGCACTTTGCGAGGTGCATGGTCTTTTACACGCTTGGTTCGGCGCGCTCGGCAAGACTGCACGGCAATACCGCGTATAGGTAGTATATTGGCACGAGATACCGCTCCGGCTAGGCTTTAGCCCCGAGGGCTACCGAGCGCCTCCGAACGGTGCCGATCGCGACTCGCTCTCTCTCTCCCTTATCTATCCGCGGCTCTCGCCTTACTCCTCCTAGTCCTCCGCTTCGCTATCGGGGCCTATATCTGCGGATGTTATCTTGTCCGATATTGTGTCTGTCTGTCTGTCCTAGACTGTACTGGTATCCTTGTATACCTACACCAGACGCCCCACGCAGAGCCGCGCCGTGTCCATTCTCTCTCTCTCTCTCCACAGAGAGACTGCATGCATATCCTCCCCCCACCCCCTGCCGTTCCACCTCTCTCGTGTATTTTGATAGGATACTTACTTGTGTATATATGTATATAGGTGCAGGTATACTTAGCGTCGGCGATCGTTTTTTACTGTCGCGTTCGCCGTCGCGCCCGCACATGTATTATCAATCAAATCTTAAATATACAGAGATACATCTACAATAAGATTATTCATTTTTGCGTGCTTTTTCTCAAAATCGATTCACTCGTGTAAATTTCATATTTCACTATCGTTATCGTGTGCACTTTTATACCCATGTATATCTACCTACTTTGATCGTATGAGTATACCCATATTAGAGGGAAATAATTAAAATTTCAAGCATTACACGTAAATTATTACAATTTAGTATTGCCTTTGATTTTTATTACCTTAAATTTACTGCGATTGCGATAGAGTAACAATTTATTTTTTTTTTTGCATTAAAAAAATATTTTGCTTTCACTGATGTTTTTTTTTTTTTCCCCAGGAGCCGCGTGTAAGTAGTTTTTTTTTCATTCAAGTATACACGAAATACGTACATTTGAGTGGGGGGGGGGGGGGCTCGATAGCAAAATAATGATGTTACTTGCACAATACACGCACGTAAATGTGCATATATTCTTCTTGAATTTTGATGACGATGATTGCAGCAGCGTAGGAATAATAAATACGAATATGCGTACATGCAGATGCTAAGTAAGTAGCTGTATATACATATATAGGTACATCTACGGGTACTTATTTCATAGGCAGAGAGATTATACGGCAGCTAATAGCCACTCACCGAAGCTGTTCATAGCCGAGCAGCTCTTGGGCCAACCTTTGAACCCTCGGCCCCCTACTCGACTTATATGTGCTGGTGTACTTACCTACCACTTGCTGCTGCTCCAAGTCTCGATTGCCAGTCGAGTGTCTTACTTTATAATATATACGTGTATTCGAGGAACCAAGTCGGCATCACGCATTGTTTGCAATTTTGCGCTCAATCGAGCCACCCGCACTTCTCTCTCGTTTGCCTCTTCACTTTTGGTTTCATCTTTTTCTTTCTTCTTATCCTGCAACTCGCGAATTTCGTCTGTGCTTTCGGATACGCTTCTTTTTTTTGTTTTTTTTTACGTGCAACTCGTTTGAAGCGCCCACTGTCCCATTATTCGATTTATCATTACTGCGCGGTGCACGTAAGTACTTGATCGTATGAAAACAAACGCAGGTATCGCAAGATACGAAAAAGTAGGTATATATTGTACCTGCTCTTCCGCAAGAAGAAAAAAAAAAAAAAAGTAGGCGGAGGATGGGGGAATAAGGGCACGACAATATTTTTGAAGCCGGCAACGTTAAAGAGCGCTCGATTCTTCCGCACAATTCACATCCACACTTGAACTACAATAGCTCTCGAAGCGCGATCCTTACTCATTTTTTTTTTTTTTTTTTCCCTCTTTCTTCTCGTGTATCCTTATCCCTGCCGTGCACTCCTCACCGGTCCAAGTATATAAACTATATATTATACTCCCCACGGTTGTACATAAATTTCCCTCTCAGACGGAATCATTAGTCTATATGCGTTCTCTGTGCTACGTGGAGCACTTTTCTCGAGAGTCGCGGGAGTATACGTGTATATACACGCGCTTCATCCACTAGTAGCTGGCTACGCCTACTCTATGACCATCAAAGTTGGATGTGCCTATAGATACTTATACATCTCGTGTACCATTTGCCGATGTGTTATTTTTAAATAAAAAAAACAGTGACTATCGTGTCCACGTGTTTACATGGATTATTTCTAATGTTTTTTTTTTTTCCATTGATATATCGATGGCTCGACGTGAAAAGAAAGCGTGACGTGACTACGAAATCGTGAGTTATTTTTCACATTGGGAGCCGCGTATGTGCATTTAAGAAAGATTTGCCATTTTTTCCAAGCTGCGGTGACGCAATCAGTTTCGAGAAAAACCACATTTATCGATAGCGTTTTTTTTTTCCCCGAGCAGTCTGTTCACGGAATTTCGTAGGAGGTGTTTTGTCCAGTAGAAAAAGTTGCCCTTCATAAACGTAACATGAATAGGTTTTCTTTAGGAGATACAGAAAAAAATGCCAAGAGCGATTGTAAAAAAACGATGCTTGTATTGTTTATTCGATTTCTTAAATTACTCTTAACTTTAAAACATGATTGGTTGGGATTGTAAAAATATCGCCATCGTTACAATATTCGAACATCCGGACATTCCTTTTTTCTTTTTTTTCCAACAATAACAATAATTAATTGATTTTCGGGTAAACTTTTCAATTTAAAATCAGAATAAAATAATATACATTGCAAAATCGATTCGTTTTATAAACAGGATTCTTTGAAGCGTTGCTGAGTCTTTTTCTGGATGGCTCGTCTTTTCTTAGTGTTGGAGTCGACGTTGATTCTATTAATCTGATTACTCGCACTCAGTTCGGCTCCATCGACATTCGAATGCAGAGGCACCTAATAACAATGTCAACAAAAAAGACAAAAATATCGGGTGATGATGATTTTCAACAGTTCCAACGTATTACGTTGTTCAACTTGCTTTATAAAATGAATAAAACCAAAAAATAATTTTGCAAGTTGATTATTGTTACATGAAATAAACCTCTTGCAAATTTAGCAGTACCTCACTTGTTAGGTTCACGTGTGCGTATCCACGCACGTACGCGCGTCGGCTTATTTGATTACACGTGTTTTTTTTAAAAGCTGTTAGTAAAATTAAATTAAAGGAAATAGAAGAAAAAAAAAAAAAAAAAATACATCCATAAGTAGGAATTCCGAGTATCGGTAGCACAACGCGCTCGTCTATATATACACGTATACATTGGTGCATCCGAGCATGTACACATCATATATGTATTGTACATAGATGTACATATAAATAGTTAAATGCACGTATGTACAATAAAGTGACCGTACGAAGGAAAGATCCCGGCGACGAGACGCACAATGCCGATGATTGATCAACGAGTGGCCGAGTTTCACCGGCGACGGCGACTATAAGCGCGTATATGAATATGTATACACATACTACAGCACGGGACGGCTAATGCATCGGTCAGACTGGCGGATACACTCCACGTGTAATATATATTAATTGTAAGGATGATGGGTGAGTGTGACACAAAGCATCACGAGGCAGACTGCAGAGAGGATAATATTATACGCGTTATATATGTATATATGTATATATGATATTGCAGACTGCAGACACAACACGTCATCAATAGCTGCAGACGACTTGTGCTAGTTGCAAACTCTCCTCTCTCTCTCTCTCTATATATATATATTATGTATAGGTATTATATAGAGTACGTGGTTTTAGCTGGATTTTTTTCAAGCGACGCGTCGCGTATATTGTACTACCGCGTTCACGTGCATCTTGAATAAGTATACGTATATGATACCTACGCGTGAACAGAGCATTTGTCTGTTCTGGTAAATTCTTAATAGTAGTTGACAATAAACATTCGAAAGAGCAACGAAAGCCCAGCGAGCAAAACCTACCTCCTCTCGCGTCAATGGATTACATAGTTTGGCCTGGACTGCGTTATCAATGTCGAGTCAGATGTTGTATATGTGTGGGTATGTAGTACCGGCGCCTGTATTGTATTTATTGGATTGTGTTGTCGAAGATGAAACACGTAGTACTAGGTAGTACATGCCTTTGTGCATTACCCTGAATACACATAAGTACATATCGCGGCTCTCTCGTTATTCGATGTACATATTCATTAAACACGGAAAAGTGAGGCATTTTTTCACACGACGCAATGAGCCAAAATTTGTTATTGTGCGTTATTTATTTTCATTTAAAAATAAAAATGATAATGACGGAAAAATATTGCCGATTTTCTCGATTTCTTTGTAACTATCCCTGTAATCGACATATTTTATTATTATGAACTTGCTTAATAAAAAATAACCATACAGAGCTACTTTAAAATTTATACCCAATACAAGACAGGACAAAGTGTAACAGTGAAAATTTTTTTTTTTTTTTTTTTTTTTTTTTTTTTTTTTTTTTT